ATTCCTGTGAGCTGAGCTGACCTGGCAGTCCTGGGGGGATGCCCGGTTAAGCTGGGCTGAGACCATTCCCGAGAGGGCAGTGGGAAGTGGCTGTGGGGACGACGTGGGGATGAGGTCAAGGGCGTCTGGGATGTGAGGCTGATTTCATAGACTCTGCATGAGTCACATGTGAGCTATGGCTTTGCTTAGGAGGTTTCTGAAAACCGAAAGGCTAATAAGTCTCACCAAAAATAAAAAAAAAAAACCTTTTTTTTTTAAAGTGCATGAACTCTTACATCAAAAACAAATCACACTGCTCCTAATAATATTTATAAATACCAGGGAAACTGACCCTGGTTAGCTCACTTGTCCTGGTCACAGCGGTTCACAGGCAAGAAGACAACGCAACATTCTTGGGATGTTCAACGCAACATTCCCTTGTTTTTAAGCTCTCTGCTAGGAGACACCAAAGAGACACTGGTTAGCTTCCATCTCCTCCCCTGAAGTCCTTTCTGCCCTAAGAATATGAGGACATGGAAGACATATGACATGGCCAGGCCCTGGCCACGCCCCCTTGACCCTCTCTGCTGTGACCACCAGCCTCTGCCCCTCCTCCCGTCACTGGAAGGGGCACACACAGCCCATCACACTGTGGCATTGGCTTTGCTTTGTTGCAGTGCTGAGAAAGGCCTTTGACTGCTCACTCCAGGATTCTGTCACACCCCCCCGACATCCGTCCCCCCTGAAGGCTTGTCCAAATCCCAGAGAAAGCAAATTTCCAGGTGTCCCTCTTACTCACACCAGCATTTTCTCCTCTGTTGACCGATCCTAAGGTAATGACCACCCAAGTGTGCTGAGCAGAGAGGGGCTGTGGGGACACTGGCCGATGTCTGTGTCATAGTCTGGGTCACCGCAGGCTGCAGGAGCCCTGGCTAGTCACATCCAAGGACCCTGGTTTGCAGATGTGAAGGGCGTGGAAGACCATGGCAGCACCCATGAAGGAGCCAACTGCTTGGGATATTATATAGAATGAAATTAGAAATGCCACACAACTGGGGCTGGAGCGACAGCACAGTGGTAGGGCGTTTGCCTTGCACGCAGCCAACATGGCCGACCCGAGTTCGATTCCTCCGCCCCTCTCGGAGAGCCCGGCAAGCTACCGAGAGGATCTCGCCCGCACGGCAGAGCCTGGCAAGCTCCCCGTGACGTATTCGATATGCCAAACACAGTAACAATGAAGTCTCCAATGGAGACGTTACTGGGCCCGCTCAAGCAAATCGATGATCAACGGGAGGGCCTTTTTACACAACTGGAGTCTGTGCCACCCTGTGTGGCATTAGGGGGCATCACATCAAGGTTGGGCCACTATGGGTCCTGCAAAAAGGTGCCCCATCAAAAATGAAGCCTGTGGGGCTGCAGAGATAGCACCTAGCATAAAGAGAAAGGGGCCTGCCTTCCTTTCATGGGACCAACTCTGGTTCGATCCCTACTACCACATACGGTCCCCTGAGCACTGCCAAGAGCGGTCTCTGAGTGCAGAGCCAGGAGTAAGCCCTGAGCACAGCGGGTGTGGCCCCCAAATAAATAAATAAATAAAACAATGGGAAAAGCATGCGGAAAGTAGACTAGACACTAAACATGATTGTCACCCATTGCCTCTTTTGCAAACCACAACACCCAATAAGAGAGACAGAACAAAAGGGAATGCCCTGCCACAGAGGCAGGGTGGGATGGGGGGATGGGGGTGGGAGGGATACTGGGATCCGTGGGGGTGGGAAATGGGCACTGGTGGAGGGATGGGTGTTTTATCATTGTATAATTGAAACCCAAGCACAAAAATGTGTAAGTCTGCAACTGTACCTCATGATGTCTCACTATTAAAAATTTTTTTAATAAAAAAAATAAATAAATAAAACAAAGCCAAAAAAGAGACCCATTATCCAACGTTTTGGGACCATTTCCTTGCTCTCTGGGACAGCATCCCGGTATTTCTGCGACCCCAAACGTGAAATCTTCCCATTCTCCATCCCTCTCCCTTGTCACTCCCAAATCCCAAGCATAGCATCCGGTCTTCCCTCGCTAATGCTCCATTTTCCATTCCAGAGGCTTCTGGAATAGGAGAGTCTCCCCCAGTCTGAACCCCATCAGACCTTTCTCCTTTCCCACACAGTCATTACGGAGCCAAGAATGTTTTATAGATAAAAAAAAAAAAAGTTTCTCCAGAGCTTCTACTCTTTGTAAGTGTGCCACTGTTTCTGCTGGCTCCAAGTCTAGGCTGGGCTGGATCTGAGGTCCCCCGCCCCCCTGGCTAGTGAGGAGAGTCCTCTGCCCCCCAGCACGTCCTCCCCGTGCACCTGTCAGAAACGCCCAGCACATGGTCTCATCATTACAGAGCTTAAAATTAAAAAGGCACTTTTAAATTTTTATATTTGGGGGTCACCCTAGCAATGCCAGCGGCCCACATGTGCTGGTGGGGAGCAGGACAAGGGCCTTAACCCCTGAACCATTCTCCAGCCCTGAGGAGGCACCATTTCTTTTTTGTTTTGTTTGGGGGGGGGGGGGTCACACCTGCCAGTACTCAGGGCTGACTCCTGGCTCTGTGCTCAGGGATCACTCCTGGCAGCCTCAGGGGACTCTCTGGGGCACAGGGGATTGAACCCGGGTGGGTCATGTGCAAGGCAAACGCCCTCCCTACTGGACGATCGCCTCGGCCCTGAGGCACCATTTCTTCCTATTTGCCAGTTGCCCATTCCCTGAGACACAGGGAGAGTGTCTGCTCTGCACACCACAACTACAGCGGGGCAGCGTCCTGACCTTTGCTTGACCACTGACCACAGACATTTAATGTTTGGGGGATCCAGAGCCTCAGAGAGACGCACTTGTCTCCAGAGGATCCTGCTCAGGGGGCAGACTGTGAGGCCCAGAGTCGGAGGCTCAGGCCCCGTGGTCACGAGGATTCTGTGGTCCGGCCTACGCCCTCACCGGCACTGTGCCGACTCTCTTTGGTCCCTGCTGCCACACCGTGCTCAGCCACTCAGCTGTCTGGGCCTTCTGTGAGTGTCCGCCTCCCTGCAGAGCTCAGAGAGCCCGTGCTGACCCAGGCAAAACCAACCCGAACTCAAGTCTCGAACCAGTATGGCCGCATGACCTACACCTTCGTGGTCCTGGGCCCAGCCTGATTGGCTCTCTGGAGGCCTCGCTTCCTGGACCGGCCTGCTGGAATCTCACACAGAATCCCAGACTGACCCATCCGGAAGGGACTCCCCACACGGGTTTGGATCCTAGCCAATAACCCCTCTCCAACTATAGGGATGACCCGTGGAGCTGAGGCAAGGGGGATGACGTCACCCAACTGGCTAGTGGGAGAACCCTGGGTGGAAGCTCAGAGAAACGGAGACTGGGCGCCAGCTTGGGCACCCCAGATGGTCCTAATGGAAGTTCTGGCTAGAGGAGAGAGGCAAGCCAGGACCCAACAGGCAGCAGGGTCCAGGGATGCATTCTCTGGGGTGTTCAAGAATAGAACAGAGTGCCTGGTGTTTCCAGTCCACTCAGTGAACTATCCGGTACACAGCTGGCGGCCACAGAGCACAGCTACCACCACGACCAGTGTCCCAGGGAGTGCCGTGTAGATCCCCAGGGATAGCTGGCAGGAGAGCTGGGGTGGGGCAGAGGCTCTGAGAAACCAGACTACACAGCTGGTGGCCCCCAGCTCTGAGAGCAAAACCACCAATGTACCTAGTTCTGAGGAGGGAAATAAGACACAGGACTTATATCTCAGTAAAAGATCTGGTTTAGACTAACTCTCAGACTCTTCGGGGTTTTTCTCTTGAAAGTCAAGAGCTCCCACAGCAGATATATATAGAATATAGATATAAAAATATAAATATGTATCTGTATATGTATATGTATTTTTTGAAAGAAGATCTGCTAGTTCCTACCAACTTCTAGCAGAAAAAAATCACTCCCATGGGGTGGGTGTTGGAACGTTGCTTGCCTAAAACCCAATCGTGAACAGCCTTGGAATGCCCTATCTCACAGTGAGTCAATCAAATACACGAATAAATAAATCATTCTCTGCATCTAAGCATGAAAAAAAGGAAAAAAAATTCTCCCATTCATTCTGCTTGAGAACCGCTGGCCCACCGTGGGCGGGTTCCATCCCCGGCAGACGAGTTGCTATTGTCTGCCAACTGTACTGTGGGCAGGACAAGCAGAAAACCCCACAGGGCCGAAAACCCAGCCCCTTCCTTGGCCCACCTCAGGGCCCACCAGCTCCCGCTGGTGCAGGACTGTGCGGACCCTCACACATTCGCTCTAAGCTCTGCAGATGGAGGCCCTAGGGAGGAAGACGCTGCTTCTGCCTCTCCGTCATACACGCCTCGACTCTCTACTGGATGCTGGCACTGTCCCCCTGGGTAGAAATCACTCCAGCACAGGGAGGAGAGAGGGTCATGGGCTCACAGCACAGAAGCTTCCTTTTAAAACTCTCCCGATGTTGGGGTCAGAGAGGGAGTACAGGAATTCAGGTGCTCGCCTTGCACGTAGCCGCTTTGGTCCTGACCCAATCAACACCAGGACTGGCCCCGGAGTTCAGAACCAGGAGTAAGTGTGAGCACCTGCAAGGGTGTTCCCCCCCGACCCACCCAAATACCAAATCGCCCTACGCACCTGGCTGCCTTCAGGAAAGAAGGAAGAGAGGCAGGCATCGAGGAGAGGACAAGGGTTAAGCACCCGCCGTGCAAAGATTCACCCCTGCTGGGACCCTCGACCCCAAATATGGTTTCCGGGAAAGCAAAGTACCCACCCCGAAAGTATAGGGAGTAGAAGGAAAGAAGTAGAAAAGAAAGCGAGATGCACGTTGCCATGGAACCCCCAGCTCTGGAAAGTCGAAAGCCCACTGGGCAACAGCAGCCCCTGCAAACACCCCCCCCACACACACACACACACACACAACACACCATCACCACCACACACACACTCATCACACAGGGAAGACAGAGAACGCAGGAGACAGACGGTACCATTGGGGGGCGTCCCGATGCTGCTGCCCAGTCCCATGATGGCCATGGTGTGGATCCTGGGTTCCAGCATGATGAGCGACTCCTCGCCCCGCTCCCAGTGGGGGATCTTCACCGGCTCCAGATGCACGTTCTGCAGCCCCTCCTCCATCAGGCTCCGATGCATGATCTGGATGGCCCGCTCCAGATTCTTCGAGCCGCTGAGCCTGTGGCCCACGGAGTCCACCAGGAGAGACAGGCGCTCGTAGGACCTGTTCTGGGCTTTGCCGTCCACTGCCAGGTTGATGATGGCCTTGGCCACGCCTCTGTAGGAGGCGATCTCCTCCTCCATCTCCTGGATCGTCTTCCCGCCCGGCCCGTACCTGCGGATGGCCTTCCCGCAGTTCAGGGGCAAGAGGTGTGCGAGGCCCACGAAGGCGACCAGGAGGAGCTGCATGCTTCCCGGCTCACGGTGCTCCCCGGAGGAGCCTGTCGAAGGGGGGCAAGAGAGAGACGGGTTTGAGGTTGGGGAGTGGGTGTTCACACGGCCCAACCTGGGAGCGAGCACATACACACCCATCCAAGTCAGGCCTCCAGAACTCCTGGGAATCGAGGTGAGCATTCGGGGCAATCTGGGGAGCCAGAGGAAGAAGGCAGCGCTTAGGAAGACCAAGAGGCTGAGCTCTCGCCTGAATCGGCTAAAAGAAGAGGAGGGCGTGGGTGCGAGAGGACCACGGGGACAGTGGTTGCCTTGCACACTACTGACCCAGGTTGATTCCTCTGCACCCCATGAGGCCTCCCCAGCACCGCCAGGAGTGATCCCTGAGAACTGAACCAAGCTCTGAGTCAAGCCAGCTGTGGCCCAAACCACACACACACACATACACACACACACGCACACAGAGCAGGGACCGGGCCCCACAAGACAGCTGAGTCCCTCGGTTTTCCGGCTCCACCTGCCCTGTGCTCTCAGGCCCTTCCATCCCAGCCCTGCAGCGGGGCTGCTCCTGAAACCCCAGTGCTACTCAGCCTTCCAACAACCTGCACACGAGGCTGCTGGTGCTTAATTACTGCATTTCCCATGGATGACGCGAAACCACTGGCTGAAGACACACACAACGGCTGGTTGCCAGCATGAGAGTCCAGCACTAACCAGGGCTGCCCACAGGGCTATCAAGGGACAAAAGTCAGGCAGTGCTGTAGGCCCCTGGCCACCACGGAGCCCACAACGGAACCACCCACGAGAGAGCTGCAGCTGTCATGCAGCACGACGGCCTTCAGCCTGAGCAGAGTGCCTAGTGTTTCCGGTCCATTTGGTGAACTATCCGACACACAGCCAGTGGCCCACATAGCACATCTACTACCATGACCAGTGTCACAGGGAGTGCCGTGTGGACCCCCAGGGACAGCTGGTAAGAAAGCTGCACACCTGTCCCATCCGCGGGCTCAGACCCCGTGCTCCCCTCTGCATGTCTGTTTCTGGCCTCCTGCTCTTAGGTTTGGTGACGTGCAGGGCTGCAACGAATTAAAAATACTTAAAGAAAAAAATGAGCCACACAACCGTGGTCCCTCCCCACAGATGACCTGCAAAGCCTCAGCCCAGGGCTGGCTGATGGGAAGGTGGAAAAATGGATCCCAAATGCAATCAGCACTTTCCACTGGTTTCTGCCTTAAAGCACAACCCCACCTCACAGTTCCCAGCTAGTCTATCTGTCTGTCTATCCGTCTGTCTGTCTGTCTCTCTGTGTCTCTTTGTGTGTCTCTCTGTCTCTCACTCTTTCTGTCTCTCCCCTTCTCTTGCTCTCTCTCCCTCTGTCTCTGTCTCTGTCCCCCCTTCTCTCGCTCTTGCTCTCTCTCTCTCTCTCTCTCTCTCTCTCTCTCTCTCTCTCTCTCTCTCACACACACACACACACACACACATCTGGAGCACTTCAAATGTGACTAGTCCACAATCGTGGCTCTAGGACAATGACACTTTGGCGAGAGGGCGCAGTAACTTTACACATCCGAACCATAAATGCAAGCACTGCTGCAAGCTAGCCCAAACTCAGTACAAAATACGCCACAGATTTGATCTTGAAAATGAGATACTTTGGGATTTAACCATGAAAACAATTAGCACTTCAGCATACCGCGCCGCACACCGAGCCTGGATCCTACCTCATTTGTTTCCCTTTGAAACGCGGCCCTTAGAAAGTTTCCACTGTCCTGTCTTTATTCTGGCAGTGGACAGAGCTGCTCCACTGCCCTCCAACTCGACACCATGGTTCACAGAGCCTGGTCCTTCCCGAGCCAGGCTCTGGTCAGCTCCATGACCCACAAGGCCCCTCTCTTGCCCTTGTGCTCCTGCTACAGAAAACAGCCCCGCCTGGTTCTCTCTTGCTGACCTTTTGAGAATCACCTCTTCCGGGGAGCCTCCTGCCATGGGCCCCAGAATGAGTGCTCCCACCCCCCTCCACTAGACTATCAACCAGTCCGTCTGTTCTTGCTCCCTCTCTCCTATCACGGGGGGTGGCTGGGGGCACACGATTTCTCCCTGACTGCCCTCCTTGCCCAAGCGTCAACACATTCTCATGCAGGACTAATGGGCCTCAGATGTATAGAACTTTGCTTCCCTGGGTGTGATGGAACTTGCCTGGCCCACGTCACTTGGAAGCCAAGAACTTGTTCTTATTGTAAATGTTCATCTTACGATTGATAGATGATGTATAATCATATAGTGATCACATCATTGGTATAAAATGCTATCAATATAATGGTTAGATTTCAAATCTAAATCAAATGTGGGAAACCAAACATTGTTCCTGCTGTCCTTGGTAAGGTTACTACTTATCGGCACACAGCCTTAGTTTCTACAGGCACCGCACTGTGATCTATCTTTTAAAAACTAAAATTTATGGGGCCAGAGTGATAGTACAGCGGGTAGGGCATTTGCCTTGCATACAGTGGACCTGGGTTCAATCCCCGACATCCCATATAGTCACACAAGCACCACCAGGAGTGACCTCTGAGCATTGCCAGGTGTGATCCAAAAAGCAACAAAGAAAGAAAGAAAGAAAGAAAGAAAGAAAGAAAGAAAGAAAGAAAGAACGCTGCATTTTATTAAGCCATCAAAATAGCTCACCAGACTGCAATGTGTTCTTGAAGGCATATTTTTTTAATGCGTAATTGGTATAAAATAAAAAAGAGAGAGAGGAAAAAAATTAGTAAGTCTCCTGTTAATTACCACTAATCACAAGTAGGTACTTTCCATGAAAAAAATCTCAAATCATTCTGCAGACATTAACAATTTCACAGCACATTTCTTTCTAGCGATGAGTAAAAAGCACCATGAAATAACGTGGTTGAGATCCAGGGGTGCAATGGGGCCACTAGTCCATATTTGAGCTTTGTAGAAGGTTGATGGAGGCCTGCGTTTTGATGGGCAAGCAGCAAATGAAGCATCCACTAGGATACCCAAAGTCAACGGGCCAACATGTCCTCTCGACTCATCCCAGCAGAACAAATTTGGCACATAACAGATTTTCAAATAGAAACAAGCATCGTGAGGGATCCCCAAGGTCAATGGGCCAACGAGCACAGCCTTTGACACAGAAGCAGGCGTTGTGAGTGCTGTGCTGAATTCTTTAACTCTGCAATGCCAAGAACGTCCCCTCCTCCTACACACACAAACACACACACACACACACACACACACACACACACACGCGCGCGCGTGCGCGCGCTACATGCTCACTTTTCAAGGCAGGTTAATTTCAAAGAGGATGAGGCCGTTATCTCTCTCTCTCTCTCTCTCTCTCTCTCTCTCTCTCTCTCTCTCATTTTTTAGCATTTTATTTTATTTTATTTTTTATTAGTGAAACACCATGAGGTACAGTTATAGACTTATAAATTTTTGTGCTTGGGTTTCAGTTATACAATGATCAAGTACCCATCCCTCCACCAGTGCCCATCCTCCACCACCACGGGTCCCAGCATCCCCCCCATCTCCCCCCCCCCCCGTCCCACCCTGCCTCTGTGGCAGGGCATTCCCCCTTGTTCTCTCTCTCTTCTTTTGGGTCCTGTGTTTTGCAAGATAGGCATTGAGTGGCAATCATATTTGGTCTATAGTCTACTTTCAGCATGCTTCTCCCACCCTGGGAGGATCCTCATGACACCCTTTATTTGGTGCTTCCTTCTCTATCTGAGCTGCCTTTTCCCCTAGCACGTGTGGCTGAGGCCGTTAGCTCTTAATGGGTCCACTTAATGGATCCATTTTCCCCCCGAGTGTAGCATCAATGGTTAGAGCATAGTGGTGCTCAAAGGCACAAAATAACGAAATACATGAAAAAACCCACCTAGAACACTTGACATAATAAACAGTAAATGCAATCTAGCTGCTTCTAAATCTGGCTTTTCCTAGAACATAATCTGAAAATTACTGATGTTATTCCTTGCTAGCATGCATAATTATATATTTCTCCAGTGAGCGCTCTGAGTCTTTTTTTATTATTGTTTTCAGAACGGCACATTTGACCACAACAAAGAGATGCACTATTCATAAAGAGCAGAAAAGAATTAGTGTTACAATCAATAAATATTTGGAGAGAACCACAATTGGAAGAAGGCCTTGCTATATTATATGCTGCTTAAGAGAAAGCATTACAAAAGAAAAAGCATAATTAAAAAGTAATCCAATAGTATATCTAAAAAAATTGCGTACCAAACTATCACTTGGTATGTAATTCCAAATGCATATTTCTAGCAAGAGGAGATTTAAGTAAAAATAAAAACACTGAGACAGAGTAATTCTAGTCATAAGGGCAACCTGAAGAAATTCTCACCAAATTTCCAGAGTTAGGGCTACCCATTGGTAGAAATTTCCCGCCCCCAGACCTAGAGTCCACTGAAACAAGAAAGGTGACCAAAGCACTGTTTTATTTTTTCAAACGGGTTAAAAACACTAGCCTTCCTCAGCGTCAAAAAGACATAAATAGTAGAAATATTTTTAGTATAGAAAAGCAAACTTTGTCTGGATAAGATCAAAACGGACTTGACTCACCTAATCTTTTCTTATTAGTACCAGAGTCATTTTAGGTAAACCAGAATGTACAGTTTTACAAAATACATAACAAATACATGTAATTCATCTTGAAAAAAAGATAATGGGACAAAACTATGAAGAAAATGGTGATTGAACGCTGTACTAGTCATGCCAAAGGGCCCGGGCACCCCAATGGCCCAAGGAGGCATTATAGGTCAAATTGAGGAGACAGTGCCATTAAAACCCTAGTTCTGGAATCCAAATGGACCCCTGGACTTATCCCAGCTGAACAAATTCTGCACATAACAATGGCATTTTTCTAGTGTTGGTAGAGAAGAAGGCAATTTGATGGTGATTGAGGAACACTAACAGTATTTCTCACTTCTGACACTTCTTCTCTGCACTGGAAGAAACAGAGAAACACTCCTCCATTCATGTAGCAAAACACTACTTAAGAGACACATGC